GCACCGGTGGCTCTGCTCTTGCCCCCGCAGACCCGCTAATGCAAACACTTAATTTATTCACCTGCGTGCGCTTGCCGAAGGGAGCCCTGGTCACACCCGGCTGAGCAACTAGTGGCACTGATGGCGCAGTCACGGAGGGGACCCCAGCATCCCGCTCCCCCCTCCACTAAATTGCTGATCTAACTCTGCTTTGGACCTTGATTTTTACCGATTTCATCAGCTCTTGACCTTGCAATTGAGCCCCAGCCCCATGACGATGAACACGGGGCGGCCAGCGATGCTCTACCTTGCTTAGGATGTAGATGAGGTCTCCGCGGTGGAAGGAGAGCTCGTCGGGATGCTCGCTGCTGCAGTCCCACATGCCTTGGTAGTAATTGGCGTAATCTCGCCGGTGACCTCCTGGGGAAAACAAAAAGAGAGGTCAGGGTGACAGGGAATTATACGGGGAAATATTGGGGTTGTGGGGTGGGGTGTTGGGGGAGAGGGGCTGGTATTCGTCGGGGAAAGGAAGGAAATGTTGGTGTTATTAATTTTGCATTTCGATTACAAGGCAGAGGCCAAAGACGTACCGCAAGAAAAAGGGGCTGCTCAATAAATAAATGCAATATCTACCAGTAAATACACATGAACACACTGATAAATGTTTCAGTTTCAGAAGACCCTGAATTAAAGCTGTTTACTACAAACCACAAAGGGAACCAAAGACGCCTTCCCTCTCTCCCAAGTCCCCCATCCCCTCCTCGGGCTCAAGCCCCGCTGGCCCTGCGGTGGACATCCATATCCTGGTGACATCCATAACCTGGTCAAGAGGGGACACGTGGCACCAGCGCCAGCTCTGCCGGGCAGTGTCCCCACCACGGTGACAGCCATGCCAGAGGCCATGGAAGAGAGATACCATTAACTGACATGGGTATTTGCTCGGGGGCCGCTGGGAGGATGCTGCTGGGGAAGGCGATAGCCAAGTTTATTTATTAATTAAAGAAGCCAAACAGGGGATTGCAGTCGATGGAGCAGGGCCCGCTCAGCAAACAGCACCGACTGCTCGACTGGGAGCGCCCGGAGCAGGAACGGGGATGGGAGGAGAGCAGGGAGCAAACATTTGCCTTCACCCCCCCATTCCCGGGAGGTCAGAGAAGGTCCCAACCCTTCTATGGCATGACACAACCTGATAGCTCAGGTCTCGATCTTCCCACCGAGCTGTGAGCCTTTGCTCAACGCCTGTGATCACAGCCTGCTGCAGAAAGGGAAGGGAAGATGAGCCGGCAGACTCTTTTTTTACCTTTTTTTTTTTTTTTTCCTGGGGGAGGCAAATGATCTGTTTGCCGAAAGCCATGGGTTTGGGCTGATGAGACTGTTGTCAAACCCTGCCAAGGCTGGGGACCGCCCTGGGCTAAATGTGCTCGTGGGTTTTCTGGAAAACGTTGCAGCAGCGTTTCCAGAATGAAACATTTCCATCTTTGCCATCCCAGAACGGCATTTCCCACCTCAGAAACTGGCCCAGAGACCAGAGCCACCGCGAAAGGCGGGTCCCCACCGCAGCATCCCGCCGTGCGATGGGACCAGATGAGCCTGATGCCAAGGTCTTGCAGAGCCCCACGACGGGAGGAGATGCTACTCTGCCCAATGCGCAGGCTGGGGAAGCGACTTGTCCCAGCACATCCGACAGACCCTTCACAGCATCAAAAAAACCCACCCCCAAAAAACCAGATTCCCAGTTTTCAAGCACACGAGACAACTGTTAAAACGTGCTCCTGGACCAAAGGCTTCAGGCAGGAGACTGCTCTGATGGCACGGCACCAAAGTGGGGGTGAATCCAGATGTCACGACACGGACATCTCCATGATGTGACCCCCATGGATAATTAAACCCAGTAAAATCACATCCTGCAGGGGGGATTCGAGCACCGGGGCTGTACCAGCGATCTGTGCTGCTCTGCCACGCGGCTGAACCAGGCCCAGAAAGCATAAATAGAAAATATCGAGCACATGTTGGAGGAAATGTTTCTAATATGGTATAAGGGACCGAGTGATAAGGGTGCATCTGGAGTACAGTGCCCAGATTTGATCACCTAAATATGAAAAAGGACATTACAGAGATGGATAATGGCACAGCAGGGAGCAACTGGAATGACTCAGGGACTTGGGGAACTTAAATAGAAAGGCTGGGAAAAAAAAAAGTAGGTCTGCATCCTTTGGAAGTATTAAAGGGGGAGCACACAGTGGCGAGGAAAAGATTGTGAAGGGAATAGAAGGAGAAGGAGCTACTGAGTTATTTAAGCTTGTGCTAAGTGCAAGAACCAGAGGTTATGAACTGGAGGCAGAGGAAATATCAGGGCGCGCGGGCGCCGAGCAGGGGGATGAGGCAAGCAGCAGCTTTGCTAGGAGCCAGCAAATTGTGTCATTAACACGAAAGGTCGTTACGGGAGGGTGTGAGGACAACATCACGACGCAGAGAATAACCTGGTACGGGGGAACGGGGCTTGGCACCGACCTGCTGGTGTCCCCCGTGAGATGAGGTTGGGGAAAGGCTGCTCCGGCGGTATCGAAAATACCAGTAATTCTATGGAGCATCATCATTAACTTGCTGGCAAAGAGATTTAAACATAGTGATCCCCCAAATCAGCCTCTGCTCCTCTTCAGACAGAGTTCTGCTCTGTGTCACTGATGTATTAGGAGGTGAAGGGGGTTTGGGCTGAGATAGAAAATACTTCTTCCTACAAAACGTTTCCAGAGCTGAAAGTGCCCATTCCCCCGCAAGAGCTCCCCCGGGACAGGGACCCGGGCGTCTGCTCGCCTGCAGGGAGGATGCTGCCGGGAAGCTGGAGTCAGCCTTGCCCCAGCCATCCCTCGTTTACCGGGAACGCTTAGGAGGTGCCTCCCTATCCCACATCTGCTCTTTCCTGCTTATCAAAGGAACAAGAGGACCTCGGAGGCATCTGGCCACCCTGTCAGGGAGCGGAGAAAGGAGAAGCCGTTGGTGAAACAGAGTCTTTGCAGAAGCCGCGCGCATGAGCCTGGACGTGATAACTCTGCGAGTACAAAGGGAGAAAATTTTCCAGGCCACGGGAAGGTTCGTGCTCCCAAAAGTTTGTGTACTTTTCCCCAGCTATGCCAGCTGGTCGGATGGAAGGTCTCACCCCTCCCTCCAACCCTGCCTTCAAAAGGTCAGCATTAATTGCATCAGATGAGGAAGATGCCTCACGACGAAAGTGCGGTCGGGCTCTGCGCTTCATTCCCGGCCACAGCCTCGAAAGCAACAAAGGCCTTTGTGCCAGCTATCGAGAATATCTTGTTAAAATTAAGGCCGTTTGCAGAGAAGGGATCCTGGCTCCCATTTTAGCACTTAAAGATAAGGCCAGGCAAGGGAGAACTTCACTGCCTTCAGCTGGGACGGTGGATGTCCACGATCCTCCTGACCTGCCGGCACCAGGCTGGGTGGGATGTGGGTCGGATCCAGACAAGCCATCCCAGAACTCCTGCATTACCCTGCAGTAATTCTGCTCACTTTTACAGATAAGAGGTTTTGTTTAAAAAGCCCCAATGCCCCGTCTAGACATTTAAGTCTGCGTTCAGGGCAGGGCCGTGATTTCAGTGCGACTGATTTACACTGATGTAAGTGGGACGAGAGCCTGCTCCCATGTTTATGGGCCTTGGGGTCATTAAGAAAACCAGCCAAATGTGACAACCGCATCATTTTCTTCTGCAGCCTGAGCAGCCCCAAGCAGGGGCTGTGGGAGAGGCACGATCCGCCCCAACCCCTTTGCTTCGGGCGTGTTGCTTCAGAAGCCTGTTGACGCTGAAACCTAATGACAACCGTCCGCAGCTCAGGGGTTTTCACCGCTGTGCTCACGCTAGGTGAAACCTCCTGCCACGCTAAGCGCAGGGTACTGCGACAGGAGGCAGGCTGCGAGGCTTTTTTATTTTCTAAGCAGAGGAATTTTGCTCTGTTTGTATTCAACTGGTAAGCTCGCGCTGCCGCAGCAGCCCCAAAGCCCGTCCAGTGCAGGAGGCAGGGATTAAGCAGCCTTGAGCGGAGCAAATGGGTGTCTTGGCAGGAGCAGCCTGAAGCTCTCAGCTGCATTTGCTGGGCTGCTCCAGCATCGTGGCATCCTCGTGGTTCTTAGAAATTAGAAACAATAGTTTTCCATTAGCCAAATGCTCATCTGGCACTTTGGCCGTGTGATATAATTAAGAAATAGCCCCTTCCCTCCCTCCCTGCAGCCCGGCCCTCTGCTCAAGGACTCCCGTCATCTCTTTCTCGCCCTTGGTCCAGTTGGACAGAAGCACAAATTACCAAGGCAAAAGGCACGAGGGCTGGGGTTCCTGGCACTGCAATAACCTTTCCCTCTTGAAATGCAGCCCAGCATTTCAGAAGCAAGAGTCTAATATATTATTTAGTGTAAAAACAGACACAGGACTTAAAGCAATCATGACAATGCTAATAACTAAACCAGTTATAACGATTAACAACAATTACAACCGCCAGGCAGATGCTAATGAGTATGAACAGGGTGTTTAAATGGCTGGCAGGGCTGTGACAGGGGAGAGCCAAAATCCTCGGGGTGGCCTTGGGGTGCAGGTTCATCATCACCTCTGGCACCAGCCTGCCATGGAGCTGTGCTCTGCACCCCACTGACCCCCACCTCGAGCTGGAAAACCCACGGGGGAGCTGCTCTCCTGCCGCCTGGTCATTTGGAGGTTTAAGTGCTGGGGCAGTTGTGAAAGGCAAAGAAAAACGTGTGTGCGTGCGTGCACGTCCCACCACCTTCTGCTTTCCTTACCCCGTGCCGAGGAGTCTCCAGGAAAAGCGTGCAGTCCCGCTTTGTGACCACAGTACAGTTTATAAAGATCGGGATGTCATTTTTTCCGAGCTCTGGGTGCTGGTACCGGCTGCAGCTGCCACATGCTCCAGTGGCCAAATAAGTCATCGTGCCGGGGGGTGGGAAACAAGCTCCGCAAAACCACGAGGAGTGGAGAGGCACTGACTTGCTCCGGTCCCTGCAAGCTGGGACTAAACCCTCTCTGCGCTACCAAGATTTCGGTAGAAACCGGCCTGATTGCCCTCCTGGGCTGGGGACAACTGCCCGGGAAACATCCAAGGGGGGGTTGATGCTGGCCAAAGGGCTTGTTGGATGTTGGATCAGGCTTCCCAGAAACACCAGGAAGTTGGGCATGGGGGCTCTCGGACCACTGGGAGGGGTAAACCAGCTGAGCAATGCTTGGGGTGCTCGTGCATTCAGGAGGGCACAAGCACGCGTGAAGCTGGCTTAGCCACCCGCCATCCACGGCATCCACCACCGAACCCCTCCGGTCTCCATCACCCATCAAGCGGGATGCCTGCTGTGGGTCCCTGGCCGGGCAGGCACCCTGCGAGGCGGGCAGCACCGGGGCGAGACCGTCCCCTCCAAGCTCCAGAGCGGGAGGGTGGTGCGGGAAGCTCTCCCGAGCCGGGCTTTGCCGGGAGGACGTGTTTTCCCATGCAGTGAGGAGCGAGCAGGGCGGCAGGAAGCCCCCGGTCTGTCCAGCCCCGGCTGCTCAGACACAAGCACTGCTTTCCTGCGCCGGGGAGGAAGCAGCGATGGAAAGCAAAGCAGGTGGGACCGGGGAGGAAACAGATCTTCCGCTCCCGTCCCACGGTGCGGGTCCTTAAGGAAAAAGCAGGGGTGGGGGACCTGGCGACCATGGCAGGCTCTCGGGCTGCTGGTTCCGGGCGGGCGGCGCTGGTTCCTGGGGTGGTGGGGCGCGTCCTTCCGGCTTCCCGCGTCGAGGTCCCTCCCTGCGGCGGCTTCCTCTGGGCCATGGCTTGCTTCCTGCCCTCTCTCCAGGCTGTGCCTGCCCCAGCTCCTCTCCCCGGCCCCTCGGGATGTGCCAAGAGGGCTGGCTCCCTCTCCGCGGTCCAGGATGGGATGAGGGACAGGGACGGGTGCGCCTCCATGGGAGATCCATCAGCACACAGCTCTCATCAGGCGGGAGAGGGGATGGATGCTGGGGCTCCTCCGTGGAGAGCTCACTAAGGCCAACCCCATGGGGTGCCTGTCCAAAAAGGAGAGGCATCCCCCATGCCCGTAGCATGGAGAAGATGGGGAGAGCTCCCCAAGCTTGAGTTGTCTGAACTTCACCAGTTGCAGAGCCTCCTCTGTCACCCATCAGTCTGCTCTTGGAGACCCTCCCATCTTCCACACACCCCTCCATCACCACCCGCACCCCAGGACGCTCGAAGGCGGCCGGATTCAAACACCCCAACCATGACCCGGAGGTCCTTTGGGTTGGCCAAAGCAGGCTGGGCTCTTACCGCTTCTCTGTCTGCTCCCGGCATCCTCGCTGTCCTCTGGGAAGGGGGGCTCCAGCTCCTCATCTGGGGGCGGAAAACAGAGCAGAGAAGTCAGGGGAAGGGCTGTGAGCGTTACTGCTGCACCAAACCCCCAGGCAGGCAGAGGGCTGCGAGAGCATCCGACTGTCAGAATAATAAATTCCCGGCTTAATTGTGAAGAGTGGAAGGGAGGAAGTCACAGATAATATTTTAAAACATGTTGCATAAAAATATGAATTGTTGTTAACACTGGTAAAAACAAATCACTTATTATAGGCTCATAAATTTAGGCAGCACTTTGCCGAGTGCCCTATAGGAAGAGATGCTTCCTGCGCAGGACTCGCAGCCCAGAGAAAAGGAGATGCCGAGGAGAAATGCCAGGACAGAAACGCGAGGAAGGATGAGGGACAGAAGCCGAAATTAAGGAGGAGAAAGAAAACCCCAGGCAGTGGAGGGCAGGCAGGCTGGCACGGCCACGGAGGGTGGGGAAAGAGAATGCAAGAAAAGAGTAAAAAATGATACCGTGGAAAAGGTTAAGGACAGAGGGGCTGGAAGTCACAGGGAAGCCCTGCGAAAACGGCTAGCGACTGACAGGAGCAAGGATCTATATACAAATAAGTTTAAATAAGATTATTTAACACCAAGCCAGGTACAACCCATCCAGCCTGAGCTGCTCTGGGTGCTGGGGCGAGTCGGGTGCACAGCACCCACGTTAGCTGCCGTCACAGCCCAGGCTTCCTTCTGCAACCGTAAAGACTAGAAGCAACCTAATAAAATAATATAAATAAAACTCGGTTCTGAAACGTTTCAGAAAGCCAACGCTCAGGCAAATTGCTCATCTGCACCTCTTGCACGGCTGCTGGCAAAGGGCTGTTGGGGAGTGCAGGGCAGCCCTGCCACGGCTGAGCCCGGTGCAGAAGAGGCGTCCCTGTCGCGTCGCAGGGGACATGGCTTTGCTGTCACCTTTAGGCAGAGCCAACAGAAAGCAAGCCTGGGTCTTCAGCTGATCCCACGGCACCCGACTGCGAGGCAGTGAAGTGCTGCTGCTGCTGCTGCTGCTGCTGCTCGGCACTTTCCGAGGACGCGGCCCCAGCCCCGGCCCCAGCCGTCTCTCCCACTCGGCGCTGATCAATGCAAACCAGGTCAGACCTCCGCTGCCAATTACAAATTGCATCCCAAGTCGGAGGGTCACTGCAACTGCTCCCCCATTAGACGGGAAGCAGCACCAAAGATCTTTTCTAAATAAATCAGACTTTATTGTAAAACTCGGCCACTGACGAGACAGAACCTCATTAGCATTGATTTTAAAATAAATTATTGAAAGTGGCTTTTGCCTGCTCTTTGCATTTGTAAAAGAGAACATAAATGTATTTGTATCAGCACTCCCCCCCCATCATTCCCACGCACGCACCCCAAACCCTCGCATCTGGATTCCTTTATACTTTAACCAATGGCACCAAATCCCCTAATCCCATCTCGGCATGAGATGGAGGGCAGTCAAACCATCGCCTGTGCCTGTGCGTCACGAAAACCCCAGAGCCGTCCTCCAAAGCGGGGCAGCATCGGTCCCCCACCACTGTGGGTGACACCTGCACCCAGGGGCTCCCCACGGCCACCCCCACCTCCTATCCATGCTGTGCACACCCCTCCGGCTCGCATCCACGCCTGCATCCTGCAGGCACTGCTTCCATCCCGGAGCCAGGCTGTCCCCAGGAAACCTTTTCCCAGAGCCCTTCTCGCACCTCCCGGCACTCACACGCGCTCCTTGGGAAGCGTCAGCCGGCGCTGGCGCAGGAAAACACGTGCCATGGAGGAAACGCTGCCGCTGGGTTTCCAAGATGAGCAAATCCTGCGTGAATCCTGCACACGGAGGGGGCTGGCACTGCCGGCTCCCTGCCTGGACGTGGTGCTGGGCAGCTGTGGGTGCCCCCGTGATCCTGGGGAGACATTATCTGTCCTGCTTCCTCCCCACTTTCCCAGACTGCAGAGCTGGTCCCCCTGGCTGGCACAGCTAACGGGGAGTCACATTTACAGCCCCTAACGAGCTCAGGCAGCTCTGTGGGTCCCAGCCCCTCGCCCCACATAGAGCCGCCGCTCCCCCACGTCCTTGCTCTCCAGGAACCACGCGAGGCTGCCAGGCAGGGGCTGGGGAGGTTTTCCAGAGCAGCCCCCTCTCCTTGTCCCACCTTGGGCCATTTTATTCCATATTTGATGGAATGGGGCATGTTCCAACCAGAAATCAAAGCCATGGACCCCGTCCCTGTTTGCATCGCCCACCAGAGACGTTAGCTGGGCAGCTGACTGCTCCACGGCTTGGACAAGGTGCTCTGCTGTGTTCCAGTCCTCTGTGCCTCAGTTTCCCTTTCCTTTCAAAGCCTCTGCCCTGCTGACCACTCACTCTGTGCCTTTTGCAAAAGGTGCTCGGAGGAAAACCTCAGGCGATTGCCCGGTCCCTGCTCTGCCCGGCGTGCTCAGGGCTGGCCGCCCCGCAGCGAGCTCTTCGAGGCTGATGGGCTGTGAGGGCCGTGATGGACGGAGCCTTCACGGAAGGAAAGGAAGAAACTCGCACGGGATTTTTCTCAGGAAAAGGTGGTGGGGAGGCAGCTGGCTGGTGTGGCTTCCCCTCGGCTGACAGCAGCCGGCTCTGCTCACCCTCCTGCACCCCATCTTCTCCTGTAACGCTGCAGCAGGGCCAGGCACAGCCTCTCCCTGCCCGCGGCATGGGTGCAGACGCCCTGGGATGGTCATGGTGAAGGCACTAACCCTGAGGTGCTGCTGAGCCCTGCCTGCACCGTGGTTTGTGCTGCGGCACGCTGGCCCCAGGCACAGTCCTTGCAGATTTTGAGCTGTGCGGTTCATGAACGGGGCCCGTGGGGACGTGACAAGCTCCCCTCCACGCCGCAGCCCTGCAGCCTGTTGCAGCCAGGCGCTTTTCTGAGTCAAGTCTGGAAGTGATGGTCTGCCTTCCCAGGGCCTGGGTGTTTGATTTCAGCCAATATCTGGATTTTATAGTGATGAATCAGAGGGAAACGCTGAAAAATGCATCTCCTGGGGGCTGTGCTGCTTCCCCCTATGCCGCCTCCCTGTGTGGAGCATCACAACCTCGACCACACCACGCTCAGGAAAATGCTTTTACATCCCCGTGGGCAGCCCCGGGCACCCACACCCGGGGTCCAGAGCCCCACGGCAGCCCCCAGTCCCGGGCATGGCCAGGGAGCCAGTGGGCTATGCACCCCACCGCTGCACCGGAGCAGCCTGGGCGTTGCGCAGATTCTCAGAGGAGCTGTGTTTTAATGTAGCAATTTGATTCAATTTTCCACTCTATAAAATTACCCATCACTGCTCGTTGCTTCCTAACAGACACCTTCACTCTTAATTTAACAATCCTATCGAATTCTGCCAGGGAAATTGGAAAAATTTATCACCTGTGAAATTTTATTTTTCCTTGGTTGTATCTGTTTTTGTAAAACTTCATTAACAACGATGACTTGCTGAGGAAATTATCTCTTCATTTCCCCCCCCTTTCTTTTTTTCCCTCTCCCTCTTTCTCCCTCTATTTTCACTCGGGACATGAGGGAGGCAGCCGGGCCCAGAGGAGACCCCAGCTTGGATGGGGACTTTCCCTATGCTTGCTGGGGGTCCCAAGGTGCGAAGGGCCAGGGGGGACGAGCTCGGGGCAGAGCAGACCTCTCCTACCTGCCCCTGAGCCCTGCAACTGGTTTCTCACCACTCGCACGCTGGGCATCTGCCTCTACAGCAACGTGCCACCAGCACCTACCTTCAACCAGGCAGGGAATTGGGGTGTGCGGGGGACAAGAAACTTGCCCAGATGGGAGAGCTGTGGCTTTGCTTCCCGCTGGCCGCATCCTGCACGGTGTCCGAGCTGCGTCCCTGCGTGTCGGTGCGATTCCAGCCGCGGGCTGCGGGCAGGATGCTTGATGGCCGGAGAAGAGAGCCGATGTGGGCAGAGGCAGCTGTCCCGCAGCTCCTGCCTGCGCCTCGGCTCGGTGCAGCCGTGACGCTGGGTGCGGGAGGCTTGGCTGAACCCCAGGGACAGCAGCCCCTGCATGGCAGCAAAGCCCCCGGGATGCCCACGCACTGGGGCCGAAGGATACTGCAAAAGCCCTGCCAAAGCAATGGGCTTCAACCTTGGCGTTTGCAATGTTTGGGCCGGCTAGCAGCCTGAGACACAACCCTTCGGGCTGCCTTAGGAACCTCTTGGCAAGCTTTTAAGAAGCTGGAATGGGCAGGACAGAAAGCCCAGTAAAAGCCCATAATTAAAGGAAGGGTTTGGCTGGGATGTTCCCTCCTCCACCACGACGCGCTGCAGCCCCAGCATCAGGGCACCGATCCGTGCGTGGGAGCAGGAGTGCAACACCCGTGGGGACGGAGGGCGAGCCTGGCTGGCAGGGTCGGCTGCAGCTCTTCAAGACACTGCATCCCGGAGCGGGGGCAACGGAGGGGGTCTGTCCCTAAATCAACCCTACGCAAGCTCCTAGCAGGATCACCATTAGCCACATGTGGAACAAACCTCACATCTAATATCTGCTCTGTAGTTGGTGTTGGCAGCCGCAAGGCAGTGAGGAGTTGGGCACAGCTGCCAAAGCAGCCAGGGATGCTGAAAGCCCTCGGCCTGACAGACCGTCAGCGCTTCCCACGCACCAGGCTGGGGACCACAGCGTGGAGGCTCCTGCTGAGCTCAGGGATCACTGTAGGTATGCCCGGAGGAAGAGAAAGCTGCTGCCCAAAGAGCTGAGGATGTAAACAGAAGAAGGGAAGGTCAGGAAGGAAAGATGAGAGACGGACAGAGGCTGAGGCTTTGCTCAGGGTTCCACAGGCAGCCCCGGAGCCCCAGCCCCGCTCCTGGCAGCTGCCTGGATGCCACTTGCAAACCGCTGAGCAGAGATTTCCTTTGGCAGCAATAACAAGACAAAGATCTCGGGCACCATAAAACTTTCTGGTGCATTTAATATTTTTTTTTTTAATCACTACAAATATAAAGTTCTGAAATAAATAAGAAGAAACAAGGACCTATTTTGCATCGCTGAACGCAGACACCAAGGGACCCTGCTCTCGGGGACAGGGAGCAGAGCTGGGTGATCCCAACCTCAGCGCAGAGGCAGAACAGCACACGGGTTTGAATAAGGCTCAGGTGACCCATTGACCAAGCCCTGGGGCATGTCACACTGTGATTTCTGCTGTAACGGTAAGAAATGTTGCAGACCGTGTCGCCCTCGCAGGCTGTTTGGTTCTGTGCCAGGAAGAGTGCTCCTGGCTCCTTTAACCGGCAGCCACTGCCCTGCTACCTCCAGACCTCGTGCACTGTTAGTGAACAAGCGCTAGTCTTTAATGCAGTTATTTTATCATCTCTTGGAAGGCCAGTAATTGTGTTACAGCCATGACTGCATGCCCAGAAGGGAGCATTTTCATCATCTAAAGTCTGATTTTCCAGGTAACACAGCCCAGAGATTCCACTCTCACCAAACTTAATATTACTCGAGCTGAACGGAGCACAACCTCTAAAAGCCGCCCCACCTGAATTTACAAACCCTCCGCCTCACCGGAACAGAAAGGGTTTGCCTTTGTGGTCCATCAACCAGTCTGAACAAAGAAACGGGGTCAAACCTTTGAGTTATGGGACCGTTACACTCAGCAGAGCCCAGGTTGTTCATTCCCATCAACGTGTGATGTGGCCAAGGTCTCCTGCCACGTTTGCAGGGCTAAGGCTAGGGGTTGGCTTGGGTTTTAACCTGCTTATTTGGTTGCTTACCTGGCAAAACCTCGTAGATGTCATCCTCTTCCATCTCAATGTTTGGCTCATCCTGATTCAGCGTAGTATTGTGGGATGCTGTGTTCGCAGAGTCAGAACTGTCCACATCATTGTAGGGCTCTTCTTCGTCCTCCTCATCATATGGGATAGTGAGGGAGCTCAGGTCTGGCAGGAGAGCAAAAGCATGGTGAAAAAGAGCAAATCAAAGTACCAGCTGGACGCTGGTACTTTCAGTGAGTTGAAATCAAGTAACAAAGCCTGTGCCACTGTACTTTGTGCTCACTGTGGACCTTGCAGGGAGTGAACTGTCCCCTCGCTTGGCCCGTGAGCACCCGGTGTAAAGAAAATGGGATGGAAGCTGAGAATAGGCTAAAACAAAGGAAAACCCCAAGAAAGGACGGCAAACGCCAGAGAACAAAGCCAAATTCAACAAGTGCCTCAAGGAACTGAGCCTGACCCCATGCCTGGGCAGCTGCCTACGGTTTCCAGAGGGTTTCCACATGCAGGGCTGGAGCCTTGTCTCAGTATCGCTGGTCTCAGACCGGAGCAACTCCAGTGGAGCCAAACCCCATCCTTCATCAGCCGAGGACAGAACGGCAGATCTGCAACCCCAGCAGTGAGGAGCGATTCCCACCCTTTTCTCGTCCCGCTTGGTGACGGCTTGCAGCCCCTGAGAGATCACACAACTCCATCCTCTAAAAGCAGCCAAAGGCTCTCGAGTTGAAACCAAATGCCTGTGGGCTCCAAAGAACCACCTGCTCGAAAGAGCAAAGCCCCAGAACCTCTCTTTTTGCTAAGAGGGGACGCTGGGACCCCAGCAAGGTCCCGGCAATGAGCACAAGCCCACCCGTTGCTGGAGGGAGCAGCCCAAGCTGGGTGGGAAGACGCTGCCAGGATCTGCCCAAACAAACAGGGCACCCTGGCTTGGACCAAGCTGCCAGACTCACCCTTCAGGAGGAACTGGATCTGATCCACCCAGTCTTCAGCCTCTGCTGGGCTTGGGGCTGTGAACTGGAGAGAGGTTCACCTGTTACTGTGCTGGGTCTTGCATGTAGGAAGAGGAAAAAGATTTGCGGCTAGAATAGGGGATGGAGATCCTGGATCTGCCATTCTCTACCCTGTGACTTTGGGAAAGCAATTTCACTTCTTTATCTCCCTATTCCAAACAAGGAAACAGAAGCGGAACAAAGCTAGACTATCCCAGAGGAAGGCTGTCAAGCCTAATTCATTAAAATAATTCAGATGAAAACCACAATCCCCACCGAATATACTACACTGACTCCGAACCAAGACTCCACATCCAAAATCTCCCTGAAGCTGAGGAAGGCTCTCATCCACACTTTGTGGATTGGGCCAGGTTTTTCATTACGCCAGTTTTCAGGCTCCCCCCCGGATGCTCAACAAATTGAAGGTTTAAATTTAACCTGGCTCTGAACTGCTGATTTAAAAATGGGCTTTCCAAACCCAATCCTCTACTGCTTCTAACCCATGTTCTCACTTAATCCTTGTGCCCCACAAGTGCTAAGAGAGCCGAGGATCACTCTTGTGCCAAGGGAAGGTCCGTGTTGAGATGACCTGCCAAGAAGGAGAAGCATCGGCACCTTCTGCAGTGCTGCTTGGTTTGTTTTACCAGGGGCTTTGGAGATTCACAGCCTCCCTCACCCTGCAGGTCCAGCCTGCACCCCAGACCTGGGAGCGTGTGCTTTTGTCCCTAGTGCTCAAACCAGCACAGAAGGTCCGTGTCTTCCCTCAGTTCCTACCTCGTAGGTGCGTTTGCCTGGGCAGATTAACTCGAAACAGCATCTTTTTCGAGAGTCTTTGCGGAGATGGAAAGCCAGCCGGGCACTACAGTGCTCAATGGAGAAGGTGCCTTTAGGTTGCTTGCCTGGAAGAAGAGAAACATGCTAAATTTGGATTTGCATCTTTTTCTCAAGCTCCCAGTACTGCTGGGTGGTGCAGATGTCTGTTGCCCACGTAGGGAAACCGAGGTACACCACGTGTCAACGGGAAACGGCCAGAAAAAAACCCCTTCAGTCTAAGCATGTCCGCCCCCAGGAAATCCAAAGGGAATATTATAAAATCTTCATAAAGACACAGTAAAGAGGATGCCCTTTTAAGCCTCAAGAGATTGTGAAGTGCCAGCAAAAGGTTGCCAGGGTCAGAAGGTTGCATGAGATGAGCCGGTTGTAATGAAGCAGAGACCACTGTGTACTTGGGGAAATATGATACCAATGATTATTCTGCTGGTAAGGCATTAACGGGCTGCCGTGCAGGAAGAAATGCTTAGTGGGGCCTTTGAGAATTGGCCTACAGGTCTTGCCGATGCACACGCACGGCCGATGTCAGCCAGGGTGGAGAGAGGGAACTTCACTGCAGTCATCTGAGGCGTCTTTATTTACCCCAGCTCATTATTTCCGTATGAATCTTCTTGAGGAAGTGTGGGAGTACGATTCAGGCCAGTTGCTCTTAACCTTTTTTTGATTTGCAGATCCTTAAAAAACTTCCAGGGGTGAGGTCAAGCCCTATATAAGGATTTCAGCCCATCGATAACAGGTTTGCTTTACCCTGTTGTCTTCTGGAGACCATTTGGAAGACGACAACCGCTCGTCCCCCACAGAAACAACCAAATATCAACCCCTGGCTTCAACACCTGCTTCTGCTAGCAGCTTGCTGGGAAAGCCCGAGGAGCTCATACCCCTGTGTACACCCTGCCAGGGTGAGAGGAGTTGGGAAGCTTGTTTGGAAACAAGAAGTGCTCGGGATCCTCAGACAATGGATGTGGAAGAAGGACAAAGAGCCAGCTTCATCCCCACGACCCACTGGAGTTTAATCCCGTCCTAGCTGCAGGCTTGGTCATTGTAAACCAAGGCTGTGCGTGTGTATTTTGTAAGCCATTAGCATGCCGTGTTTCTGGATGGGTGGAACAGAGGAAGGCCATATATCTAATCACGCCAAACTCTGTTGGAGATATTAGCTGTCTGTTTACATGTACCTGATGGAGCATGACTGCAAAATATTTATATACACTGACACATGGATTATATACGGTCACTTAGGGGGTTAAAGCCCAGCTGATGGCTAATGGAAAACTTGGTACATCGTTTTATTTACACACAGCTCTGTTCCTGTGTCTCTCTTCTCTTGTTCCATACCTATAAAGGTGTTTTTTTTTTGGGGGGGGGGAAGGCAAGCTGAGATCTACCTTTCTAGGAGAACCTGCGTCTTATGCCTTGATAGGGAATTACAACCTTCCCATGGTATATGCTTTTCTCTTGTCAGATATTAGCCTGTCCTCCAGCAAGGGCTCTCCCCTTCTCTTCTCCAGCCCTGTCCATGCCCTCAGCCACCACCCACGGTTTGGGGACCGGAGGCAGGTATCTCGCCACTTACTTTTCTCATTGGCGTAGTAGTAAAAGGTCCTTCTGTTGAGGACACACCACCGCTTCTGCCACTCTGACCCGAAAAAGCTGTGCTCTAGGAAGAAAAGGACAGCGAAAGAGCAAAAAATATTAATTTCTATTCTTTCATTGTATGCTTCAGATGAATATTTAGGGGAAAGAAGAATTTTTTCCCAACAAAATCCTGCAGATTTCTGGCACAAAATTCAGGCAAGCAAATTTAGATACAAAACCTCCACCAAGTAAGGGAGAACCAGCCTGTCCTACCAGGCTGAGGCGACTGCAAGCCTTCCCCAGCTCTCCAGGCAGGCTAGGCTGGGCTGAGCTGAGCTGAGCTGCTGTGACCCTTAGTCCTGCTAACTGGGAGGGAACACAACTTTGGGTTAAACCTCCCTAATTGAGGTTTAAGCAAATGTCTTTTACTCTGTAATTGGAGCAAGCTAAAACATGCACAGGGCCAGTTATACAGCTCAGCTCATGGCCATGAGGAAAAAAGGGCTGTTCTTGCCTCATACCACCTGTCATACAGTAAATAAATCAAGATAAAATCTGAGTGATGAGGAAATAATTTGTAGCTTTCACAAGAGTCAGTAAAATCAAGATAAACCTGAGGCTGACTCACAGTCCTTATCTCAACTTGCTAATGTGTGCGATGCTACGAACTACCTTGTCTTCACCCGGATTTTATCCTCATTAGGTATTGCTCGTTAGAAGGGCACATCTTGCCTTAGAGGACTGGGCTGCTGCCTAATTCAATTTCTGGGTTTTAATCTTTGTGCAGTTTGATGATCTGCAAAAGAGGATAAATAAAGGCTGTGCCCTCCCTGTGTGTGTGATGCCTAAGAAAAGCCTGAAAGATTCTGCATGCGCCTACAGAAAAATCTGCAGAAAAGATGTATTTTCCTGCTTGTTCTTCGAGTGAAAATTTGCATTCTTGGTAATTCTGAGGTGACATCCCCAAACCTTATCTTATGATGTACTTGTCAGGCCTTACCTCTGGACCTCTTCTCCAGATATCCTTGCTTCAAAATGTTCCCTGTGTCTTGAACAGGCTTCGGTGTGATTTCTTCCAGTCCTACAGAGAGCAAAGCAAAGCAAAGCTTTGGGATTTCCCATTCGCACAACCCCTCAGCACAACATTTTCGGCCCCTTTCTCTGCAGAAGAGGCTTGGGAAGGCAGACCAGTGGCTGGAGGTGGAAATCATGGTCTATCATGATCTCGCCAGCTATTCCCAACCCTGGTTGCAGGCTCCTAGAAGTCGTCCTCAAGGAAACCAGGACCATGATTCACACGGCTACAGAGACCTGCCCTCAGCGGGCTGAGGCTGGTGCTGCTCTGGGGGTTGATGCTCAGCCCTTTACCCCCCAGCCAAGGCTCTCTGGGTCCCCGGGAGCTTTTGGCAGCAGGCAGGACCTGGTCAGGTTTACGGACTTGGAAAACACATTCCCCGTGTCTGATGTCTGGTCTAACTCAGACCACGGCACCTCATTCCGGGCTGGCGGCCGGACCCTGCGGCCACGGAGGGGCTCTGGCACTCGCCGCACGAGGTGACGGCCATATCTCATCCCCAAAACCAGCGGGGCCAGGACGCCCCCAAGCCACGGCTTGCTGCTGAGAAGGTCTCCCCCTCCTCTCCTGCTCATCTCCTGCCAACATAACTTGTACTAAGCACAATAAAAAATGACTAACCAAATGCCACTAATCACCTCCCCAGTGCCCAGCCTTGGCAGCCTTTTCAGTACGAATAAATTCCCAGAATCCCAGGTCACAAGAGCTGCTCTTGTTTTCTTAGCGTGTCTCACTAACACCCAGCTCTCGGCCCAATCCATCCCCCCTGTCACCTCTCTCATTCATGGGCTATTTTCATTTTTGTGTTTTATAGTTTGCAAACTCTGGGCTTGCTATAAATTCTCCGCAAATGGGTCTCGGGGCAAACGGCAGACACAAAGACACACAAAGTTTGGGTTGGTTGAAAGGCTCCCCTACGTCTGTCTCCTCTGTTGGCTGGAAACCGGATCCTTCAAAGACCAAATCCTCGGCTTGTGCAAAGCTCTCTGAGGTGATTCACATTAGGGGAAGCCCGGGATGCTGTGGGATTGCCCCTCTGCAATGCCTGGAGGACACGGACAGCCCCTTTCCGCACAGAGAAATCTCACTTCTTTCCAGCACCTGCCCGGCACAAACGTGCTCAGGCTTTTCTCTAGCAACGCTGAGCATCTGACTTGTAAAGAGGCACATTGTCTTCTCAAATCCAAGCCCCGACCCCTTTTGCTAATGCAAATCTAAATGTCATTTTATGGGACATTTATAATTATGAAAATGGGACGGTGCCGGATGCACGGGGAGACCCCGCGACTATGAATATTACATTAATGTGCCCAACGCCAGCTCGCTGATCCCGCTGGCAGGAGCATAAAAAATGCTTGAGTGAAACTTTTATTTAGACGTTAAGAATCCAGGCCCCAGCGGGGTGACGGAGGCAGCCCCGGCGAGATCCCATCAGCGCGAGCGCTCGAATTGAATTACCCAGGGGGGAAGGCAGGAGCTGCGAGTGCTGCTTCGCTTATTTAATTTCATTTACTTTCAGTACATTATCAGCATGGGGCTTCCCTCTGCCCCCATTCCCCCAAGAAAACTGGCTGCGGAAATCGCCAGCGTGCAGGATGCTGCTGTCGCTTGAGCCGAGGCAGGGACGTGTCCGGCCATCCTGGTCCTCCTCGGGATGGGCTTTCTGCCCTTTCCTCAGCTGCCGAGAGAGATTCGAGGGAGCGCAAGGACCTTTCAAACACCACAAAGAGCAACCGAAGCGGGGAAGCAGGACGGACGCGATGGGAGCCAGCAACAACCTCTTCCAGCTCCGCATCTTCTCTCTTCACCCATCATTTCTTGGTGTTTGCCTGTAAGCAGCCAGGACCCCTGGGACAGCTGCTGCCTTCTCAGTTATGCTTTGCCCTGTTTGAGATCAATTTTCCACCTAAGCAGATCCCATGTTTCAGGCTATTTGTGGCCCTGGGTCCCAGGATCTGCCAGGCTGGCAGCTCCCCGGGGCCGGGGCACCTCTGCGGCATCGCCTCTGAAACACTGTCAGGAGCCCAAATCTCTCCCGCTCTGCAAGAGACACCGTGCCTCAGTTTCCCAGCAGGAAAATCAGAATGACAGGAGACTCCCTTCTTCTTAAATACTCAGTGGCTGCTCAGACAAACTAATACAATTAAGGAGGGGTTGTGAGGGCTGATTCGATTGCACGGGGCTCTGGAAATTTTAAGTTTTACAGAATATGACATGAAGATGGCAGCTGTAACCTCTGTGTTGCACGCAGCCTCTCTAATGCAGCCCTGTTAATGCAGAGCCAGGAAGATTAAATCTGTGCGAGGTGGGTGAGCGTGGGGGACGTGGTGCTCGGGGCTCTGCCTGGCTGCAGACAGGGCTGGGGCTACGTGGGGTGTCCCTGTTCCTCCCCGTGTCCCCAGCCTGCCCCTAACAACAATCCAGATGGCTTTTGCTAGCAGCAAATAGCTGAATTAACCTGCAAAGAGAGTCCCTGGCTTTTTTTATTTCTTTAAACCATCCTAACGGACACCCAGAAGATCCAGAGAGGCTAGGCAGGAGCCCAGCCCCAGGAAGCTCTCCGGTCTCTAAGGGCAGAAGGTTTATTTGCCCAGGCAGCCTCTGCAAGACGCCTCTGCCCCAGGGCCACACAGCTGGCAGGTAAACCACAGCTCACCACATCTAGGACTCCAAGTGATGGAAAAGCCAGCCCATCGCCTGGTCATCTGTTCCAACCACTAATGGCCATTCACCATTTATAAAAACAGAGAAAGAAAAGGCCTTAAATTCATCTGAGAGAGACATCTGTGCTCTCCCAGACACACGGCCCCTCTTCGGTTGCTCCTGGCACGGTGCGGCAGGGCTGCGGCTGTGTTTGGATGGTCTCAGTGGTCCCTTCCACCCTGACAGCTCCCCCAGCCCACCCTTTGCCCAGCAGACGGCTGGTACCGGCAGCGCTGCCCGGTCCCCCCAGCGCCTCAAACCCCTCGTGGCCTCTCCTCCATCCTCTGCAGCCTCTCAAGCCCGGCTCCCGAGGGAGCTGCTCACCCCCAAGGATTTTCCCGCAGGTGAATTTCCCGATCCACGGGACACATCGCTCCATCCGGAGCCTCCCGCAGAAGGGCTGCACGTTGGCGGCACTGGGAACAGCTCTGTGCCGAAATCCTGGAGACCACTTTTCTGCAGAGGATACAAAGCTGTAGCATTTCAGGAGCAGGAGAAAACTGGGGCCAGAGACCCACACCCACGGGTGCAGGAGCAGGCACCAGCTCTTTCCTTTCCCCTCTTTATTGCACCTCAACCTTTACTGTGATTTGCCTCCCCCAGGTGCTGCCCAAGGATGCTCTCAGCCTCAGAGGCTTCGCTCCTACATCAGGCTGGCACAGGGGTGGACCCAGGTCACCCACCGAGCCTCTGGCTTTGCTCACCAAACGGCATCTTTTGGGCAAAGTTCCGAGGAGTTTGGCTGCTGAGTGCTGTGACCGTGCCACCCCGTCCTCGCCACGTCCTCAAGGACCTCTGGATTTCAGCTCTCGCCCCTTTGGTCTCTGAGTCATGCACACCAGCTGCACAAAATGTCACAGTAGCTGCAGCCAAACATGCCCGGGGGCCGCGTCGGTGCCCATGCTGTCACATCAACCGACTGTTCAAAGGGATGGAGCACGGAGGCACGACGGTTACAGCTAATTCCCCATCCTCCAGCTTATTCACCAGGCTCAAATGTGCCAAGAGCAGATTCTGCTCCCGGGGACTTCGCAGGGAACACCCAAATACATTTCAAACCAGAGCACAATCGGCTGTGATTTCCCAAAGCCCTCCGTGGTGGCTGCGCTCTTTTTCCATTGAAGCTAATGAGAAAAAAAACAATCAGAAAGAGACAAACAACCCCTCCCACCGGCTTCAAAGCGAGACGGACTCAGGAAATGCTGAAAGCTTTTGGAAATCTCACCCGCCACCAAGGTCTGCCACGGCAAATGGGTCCAGGACGTGGCTGCTGGGGCTAATGGCGCTGACGGCCACTGCCGAGCGGCATTTGTGGGTCTATTCAAACGCAAGTTTCATACATGCAAAAACAAGGAGCTGTTTGTGAGCCACGCTCCTTTCAGTCTCTGGTGGGAGAATGATGCTTCCCGTATTTAAACCGTTACCTTTTTCCAAGATCAAGAGGATCTTGAAAGCATCTCCGCTTTCTCACATCACGATGCACGCAGGGGCAGATCCTCCCCAAACCCTCTTCCCGGGTACCCTCAATCAAAGTTACCAGCCAGATCCACCCCACGGTCCAGTCCCCCGTGGGAGGACGGAAGCGAGCCTGGCCCCGTGGATACAGGCTGGATACATCGGGCACAGCCGGGCAGGACCTTTTCAGTGCCATGCCGATGCTGCAGCCCGGCGAAGCAGCCAGCAACGGGCACGGATTGATGTCCCGACCAAACGGAGCAGGAGGAGAAAGGCCATGGTGGGAAGCAAGCCACCGTCCATCAGCGTGGTCCCCCTGGTCCCCGCCTCCCCGTCCCCTCGCTCCAGGTCACAGCGCATCGCCTCGGTGGCTCCCAGGCCCTCGGTGCCCCTCGGACACGCTTCTCTCGGCGCCTCGGGAACATCGACGAACCTTTCAGCGCCTTGGAAACGGCTGGGGATCATTTATAACAACGGGAACGAAATGAGCAACGATTTCAAAGAAAATGGGGAACTAAACAATTGTCAACATGGATCACATGAAATAGATCTTGTGCCAGAATAATTTTATTGCATGTTTTTGAGCAGGAAAATAAGAAAGTAGATGAAGAAAAGGCAAGGCAAGGCAGAGAAGATTTATTTGGGCTTCAGCTTGACTTTTCAGAAGAGGCTAGTAAGCAAAATTCAGAGTGTAGGCATCCACCCCAGGATAACTACCTAGATTGAAAGCCAGTCAGCAAGCAGGAGGCAGTTAAAAATCAATGGCAACAAATCATCGAGAGGAAATTATCAACTGAAATAACCCTGTGTTCGGCTTCGGGATCAGCTGTCCTCGGATGCTGCAAGGC